GGGGCGGGGGCGGAGGCACGGGGGCTGGACAGCTGGGGGGGCGGCATGTTGGGCCGGGCCGGCGCTGGGCGCTTGGCTGCGGAGGAAGAAAAGGGGGGAGTTAAGAGTCCACGTCATCTGTGGTAAACCCTCCACGCTCGGCCCCACCTCAGGACCTTTGTGTCTGCTGTTCCTTCTGCGGGGAACAGTTTGCACGGTTGGCTCCCTGTCACTGGGGTCTCTCCTCCTGTCCTTCACCCCTCAGAGGCCCTCCCTGACCACCCCATGCCCCACCCCAGTCCCTCTGCCCGTTTTCCAATTTTATTTCCCTTGTGGGACTCTTTGTCCTCTGAAATGAGCTTGTCCGTTTTTACGTTACTTGGTCATTGCTTGTCTCCCTCCCAGGACATAAATCCAGCGAGGCCCCGCTGTGTGCTGCTGGCCAGGACTCCAGTGCCCAGTGCTCACGCTGGCTAACCTTTAATGGGCACTTGCTGTGTGCTAGGGCCGGGTGCTCTCCCTGCAGCACCACTGAACGCCCCACACAGCCCTACCAGGTTAAGTGCAGTTACTGTTCCATTACACAGAGGAGGAAGCTGAGGCTCACATAGGTGAATATACCTGCCCAAGGTCATGGAGCTGGAATCTTAACCCAGAGTGCCAGGTGGCAAAACCTGGGCTTTTCACCACCTCGATTCCTGGCCTCCCCTGGCTGTCTAAATGATGGGAGCACCCGGCTTGCCATCCCCTTTCCCTGCCCACCCTTTGTCCCCTTCTCTTCTCCCACAGCCAACTCACTCCTTCGAGCCATATCCTCCGCTGGGGCAGCTGTCTCCGGGGGGCTCCTGTTGACCTTGGGGGAGGCTGGTCTGGGGGGCACCTCAGACTCTGTCCTGCCGACGGAAAGAGGGTCAGGGTTAGGCTTAGGCATCTCCCAGAAGCCTCCCGGAATCTTGTCAGGTGGAGCTTGGGTCCTTCCAGCACTCGCTCCCACCACCTTGTGGCTGTGCTTGGGGTCTGTCCCCACCCCTCCCCACAGAAGATGCTTCTGGCATTGGCCAGGATTTGTGTCCACTGAGCCCTGGCTGCTACGTGACTCTGTGACAGGGTCCACGGTCCCCTAGGGGCCAGGAGGGCACCCCGCCTGCCTGGCAGGTAGGCTAGCATGGGAGGTGGGACGCAGGGCCTGCCCTCTGCCTCCATGGGATCTCTGTGAGATGTTCTGGCCACTGGACGCAGGAGAGCGGCTGAGAAGCAGGCGGCCATGCTCACCCCTGGCTGCCTTTGGGTCTCTGCTTGGTGGTCTCTTCCCCAGGAGCCTTTCCTGACCCAGAGCAGCCTGAGCAGCCCCCACACTCGTTTCCTGCTTTATCTTGCTTTTCAGCACCGTTCTGACGTCACAGAACGCGTCTGTGGATGTGCGTGTCGATTCTCTCCCCTCCCCCCTGGAATGCGCGCTCTAAGGGCAGCATTTGTCTGTCTTGCTCAGCTGAGGACAGTCACGGTGTGGGCCGTGGCAGTCTGCGGTACTGACCAATACCTGCCTGGTGTGGCAGCAACACAGAACCACGAAGCCCTTGTGGATCTGAAGGATCGAAGAGGAAGATGGAGGGTATTTATAGATTCCAAAATGATCATCTCCCCAGTTCCCTAAATCCCCAGGGCCAGAAACCGTGCCTGGCACACAGCAGGTGCTCAGCAAATTGCCATGCAATGAACAAGGGAACACATCAGATGAGGCTGAGACCCCGCCTTCTCCAAACTGGGAGAACTGGGAGACCTGGTCTTTGCGATGAAAACGCCAATAATCACATTTGCTAAAATGCTACTTGAAGTCCTGAGATGGTGCCCCAGGCTGGGTGTCTGTGGGGCCAGGACAGGGCCATTCATACCCCTCAGTCCTCACCTTTCCTTGGTGGCTGCTGGGGCTGGGGCTGGAACCGGGGTGGGCACGGCAACGGGTGGAAGCGCACCAGAGGCCAGCTGGTCGCTGACTGTGTCCTGGGGGGCGAGGGCTGAGAAGAGGCCTGACACGTTGAAGTTGACGTCTGGAGGTAGAAGGAGCAGGTGTTGGCCCTCGGAGCCTCCGCCATTCTCCCTGCCTCAGCCTGTGTCAAGGCCACTCCCCCTTCTCCCGAAAGGACCTGGACCACGTTTTGCTTTCCCACTCCCATGTGAGCCTCACGACAGTCCCACAAAGCAGGCAGGATCGGTCCCACTTTAGGGAGGAGAAACTGAGGCTCAGTGTGGAGAAGCAATTTCCTCCAGGCCTCCTGGTGAGTTCGCAGGGCTGCCAGGGACAGGGTCGGGGCCGGGCAGAGGGAGGGCACAAAGTGAAGCCTTCACGAAAGCGGGAGCTGCACCTCCAGGGAAGAGGGTGTCTGCACTCTGTATCAGCGCCTCGACCACGCCCACCACCTGGATGGAAGACACCGAGGCTGCGTCCAGCTGGGCCTGGTCCCTGGGACAAAAAGGGAGACAAAGTGAGTCATCCACTTAGCAGAGTTTTCATGACCCCAACTCTCTGCGTGGCCTTGGGCTGGGCACTGGGGACACAAGGATCAACCATATCCAGGACCCTTTTCCTCGGAGTCTTGGTCTAGGCAGCCTCTACCAAGGAATTGCACTCCACACAGATAAACTCTTTCTGCCATCTGTGGCCAGGTAAATAATGACCTCTCACACACGACTTTACAGTTTGTAAAACACTTCCCCATTCATCATCTCATCTAATTATCAAAGCAAAAACCATGAAAGTTTATAGAACTTCTCCCCAGTTTACAGAAGAGGAAATGGCAGTCATGAGGGTGACCTCCCAAGGCCCATCTCTGGAAGGTGAAGGGGTGGGGGCTAGAGCCAGACCTCTGGGCTCCCAGCTCCCCACCAGACCACCAAGCACTCCATCACCGCCACTACCCAGAATGCCTATCTCCAAAGCCCCGTGGGGTCCATGGTCCCTTCAGGCTGTTCCTCACAGCAGCCTTGAGAATAGGAGCCACTTGACCCCTCCAAGAATGGGGAAACTGAGGCCCAGGGGAACAATAAGCAGCAGATGGTTGAGATGGGGACTGCCTCCCTCCTACCACCTTTCCGACCCGTGGCCTCTCACCCTTCTTTCTCAGGTGGCCACAGTAGGTTGGGCCCCAGGACAATAGCAATGTTGCTGGGTGTCATCTTGTTCACTTCCTGTTCCTCGGCCAGCCGTGCCAGGAACTTCATCAGGTACCTGGGGGTGGAAGAGGGCTTGGGTGGGGGGGGCAGGGCATGTGGGGCCCTGAATACCCACTGATGCATCTGAGCCCTGAGAACTCCCCAGGTTAGGGTTTCCAAAGAGTAGGAAAGATACCACATGGGGTGGTTTTTAAATTTTTTTTTCTTTTGAGACAGGGTCTTGTCCTATTGCCTGGGCTAGAGTATAGTGGCATCATAGCTCACAGCAACCTCAAATTCCTGGGTTCAAGCGATCCTCCTGCCTCAGCCTCCCAAGTAGCTGGGACTACAGGTGCATGCCACCATGCCCGGCTAATTTTTCTGTTTTTTTGTAGAGACAGGGTCTTGCCCTTGCTCAGGCTGGTCTCGAACTCCTGGCCTCAAGCAGTTCTCCCGCCTTGGCCTCCCAGAGTGCTAAGATTACAGGAATGAGCCATGACTTTAAAATTTTTGATAGTCAAATTAGCTGATCTACTGAGTGCCAACTAAGTGTCAGGCACGGAGCTAAGCTGAGAGCCACCCCATGGGGTAGGGACTGTTACAGATGACAGATGACAACACTGAGTTTTCTGCCCAGGCCCACACAGGGGCAGAGGTGGGATGTGAAACCGGGCAGCGTGGCTCCAAAGGTTCAAGGTATTGTTCATTTCAACGTCTAATATTTAAAAAAATATGACTAGTACATCAAAACTGTGTTTTCAGAAATATTGCTTAGGACACAGTGGCAGGGCCGGACTCAAACACAGGGCCCTTGAGTCCTTGAGCTCTGGCTTTGGGGGGAGGTGGGCCTGGGCTCACCTGAGGTTGCTGAGGTTCTCGGGGGGCAGGCGGCTGCACAAGTCTTGGAGGGCCTGTAACCGGGCCCCTGGCTCCTTCAGGCTGGAGAGAGAGACCTGGTCAGTGGGTACACCTGTGCAGCCTCCGCCTCCCCACCCTCTCTCCCCTATCCTCACCTGGCTGCTTGCATCCAGTCGTCATAGAGATCAAAGGTCATCAGGGGCTCTGGCAGCTCCCGCAGATAGGACTTGAGGGCACCTGAGGCAGAGGTGGGGAGAAGTCAGAGGCAGAGAAGCAGCCCCTCAACCTGCTCTCCCTCTCTCCCTATAGAAGGAATCTCCAGCCCTCGTTCACACTAACATGTATAGGTCTAATAGTTTCTTTGGGCTGCAGGCCCCTTTGAGAAAAGGAAGGCTAGCAATCTTGTCACCAGAAAACTGTGCACACATTTCAGGAGTTCATCGTGGACCCTGCGTTAAGAACCCTGTGTCCTGGCCAGGCGCGGTGGCTCACGCCTGTAATCCTAGCACTCTGGGAGGCCGAGGCGAGCAGATTGTTTGAGCTCAGGAGTTCGAAACCAGCCTGAGCAAGAGCGAGACCCCGTCTCTACTAAAAAAAATAGAAAGAAATTAATTGAACAACTAAAAATATTACAGACAAAATTAGCTGGGCATGGTGGTGCATGCCTGTAGTCCCAGCTACTCGGGAGGCTGAGGCAGTAGGATCACTTCAGCCCAGGAGTTTGAGGTTGCTGTGAGCTAGGCTGATGCCACGGCACTCACTCTAGCCCAGGCAAAAGAGTGAGACTGTCTCAAAAAAAAAAAAAAGAACCCTGTGTCCTCAGCAGAATATCAGGCCTTAAAGCCAAACTATCTTGGGATCATTTCAGGCAGCTGCACCCCTTCCCCCAACCTCCCGCCCAGGGCTGCCTGGACCAGGCACCTGCCACGGCGTGGGGGTCAGAGCAGAATTCCTCCAGGCTGTGGGGGTTCGAGGCCATCGTCTGCTTGAGGCGCTTCAGCACGGAGGCCCCAGCGGCCAGACGGAAGAGGCCCTGGGGTGCAAGAGGGAGCAGGTGGGGGTCACAGAGGGGTGGGCAGGGCAGGATACCTGGGCTAGGGGGCCCTGGCTCACTTGTAGCCTCGGGTATGCTGCTGGCCGTCACTGGGCCTCAGTGGCCCCACTGGTCTGGCAGGCAGAGTGGACACGACACTGTCCGTGGCCCTTCTTAACTCTCAAGGTCTAGAATTCTGAGCAAAGGGCGGGGCTGGGAAGTCTGGAAGGAGCTGGGAAAAGCCGTGGGGAGACAGGAGTCTGGCTGGAAATGGGAGGGAGAAAGGAGGCCCCAGCAGGATCGTTGAGAAGCCCAAGTCTGTCTTTGGGTATTTGCCACCTCCTAAGGGTCTATCTTCAGGAAAGGAAGCAATGTACTAACAACACTAAGGTGCAAAGGACAGCGTGTGACAGTGACTGGCGCTATGGTTTCAGTGCCACCTTCGCATGTGACTCTGGGCACATGGACCTCTTTGCCTCTGTCTACCCCTTGTAAAATGGAGCCAAGAAGGGCTCCCTCCAAGGGTCACTGGGATCTTAAGGGGAGCGAGGAATGCAAAGGCCTAGAGCACAGAGCCCGGCCCACACGAGCATCACTGAGCGGGAGGTAGTGTCACCAGGAGGCCACGCCTTCTCCCAAGGACCTGTGCTCTAATGAGGGAATGAAGGCACCAGGGCAGGACAGCATGTGGGGGTTTGGGACAGAATGAGGGCCCCAGTGCCTCTTCCCCAGCGGCCCCAGGGGGTCCCACCTCTTCCTTCATGCCCTCAGAAAGCAGCATCATGACGCAGGCCTCGATGGGCAGGGCGATGTCCCGGCCCAGCTCTTGCAGGTGGGTTCCCAGCGATACCCCATACATCCTGGAGAAGGGGGCGGCTGTCATCGAGGGGGAAGTGTCTGCAGGAACAAGACAGATCAGTGGCCCGGGGTCTTCCCACCCCTGGGAAGTCAGGCAGGGGTCACTCCCAGACGTCCTCAAGGTGGTTCCACCTTCCACCCGACTGTCCATGCACACATCTGGAATCATCCATCGTTCTCTTGAATCTGCCCACCTCCACTGCCTCTGCCCTGGTCCAGGCCACCATCACCTCCCTTCTGCCTCCTAAGAGGTCTCCTGGCTCTAGTCCTATCCCCTTCGTCCCATCCTCCGCACAGCAGCCAGAGCAATCTCTCCATCACACATCTAATCCAGCCCTCAGAACTCATCCATGGCTCCCTATTGCCTTTCAGGACGAAGTGCAAGCTTCTTAAAAAGCCCTGAGCAGGGTGGAGTCAGGGGTGTGAGGTTAGCCCTGCCTTTATCCCCACCTGCTTGGCTGTGGTTCTCCCTCAGCTCAGCCAAGGCTGTGTCCAGTGAACTTAGTGACCTGCGATGGTAATCGGCCTGAATCTCCAGGAGCTGTGGGGACAAAGGGACACCCTCAGGGGAAGTGAGGGAAGCTGAGCCTTCCCCAGGATCTACAAGAGTAGAACCCCCCCGCCCCCAGCTCCTACCATCTCACAGGGTCCCAGTGGCCCCTGGCTCTGGCATCCAACCCCTGAGCTCTGGACGCCTGGAGCCTGGTCTCGGACTCACATGAATGAAGTAGTTGGCATATGAGTCCTCCTTGGTGGCAAAGTGATACAGGTCGGCCAAGTACTCATCCTTGGGGACAGAGAGAGGAGAGCTTAGCCCATGTGAGAATGGGGGTCTAGAAGGGAAGCTGAGGCTTGGAGGGGTTTGTGACCTGCCCAAGGCCACACAACTGTACATGGAAGGTCCCAGCCAATCCCCTCTCTCTGCCAAGGTTTGTACTTGGGGCCAGCCCATCAGAACCCCTGGAACTCTGGAGGGGCTTTTACAGCTGCTTAGTCCTCATCCGTGTCCCCACGTCCTCAATCATTCTTTCATTCACCTTTCATTCATTCACTCAGCAAACACCAAGACTCTGGTGAGGAGACCAAGTCTCTGCCTCCCAGGTGTTATGTGTGTGGTGTAGACAGCACAGACCCAAACCCGGCTCTGCTGCTGCCTGGCACATGGCCTTGGGCAAGTCATGTCACCTCTCTGAACTTCAGCTTCCTCGTCTGTGAAATGGGAACAGGACCCACCCCTGCCACCTCATATGCCTAGGGAACCCCAAGGGCCCCCTCACCTTGCACTGCTCCACCTTCCTTTTTAGCTCCTCCTCCTCCTCCTTCAGCGTCTCCACCTTGTTGGCTGTGGTCGTGTGGCCGTAACTGCCTGGGCCACTTCCTAGGCCTTGACTGTTGCCTGAGTTCTTGGCTGCCTGACTGAGCCTGGGGAATGACCCCAAGGTGGGCTGGTTACCAGCCCTGTTGCATGTCCAGAGCCAAATGTCCCTCCCTACATAGGATTCTGGGATTTACGGATGCAAATCAAGAGTGCCGCTGGCCCTCAGCCTCTGCCCAGCCTGGGATGTGAGTGCTCTGGGCTGCCCCCTGGTGGTGGGTTTGGTGATCACAGCCACCCAGGTCCAGAGTGGAGGATGGGGCACCCCCCTGTCATCCAGGGATCTTGGAGGACCATTTGTGGGTTTCCTAGGCTTTGGGGTCACCCCCAGCACCAGCTGTGACAAGCACGTACACACTGTTGAACGTATCCTCACATGTGTTCCCAAGGACCAGATGTGTGCACAAGAAAACACTGTACCCAGCGGTGTCCTCCCAGTGTGGCCAGGGCCGGAAAGCTCTGTGGCCATCTCTGTGGGCTGAACCATGTAGGGGTCCCACCCAGTGGCTGTGGCTCCCACCTGCTCTTGAGGGTGTTCCAGTCAGACACGAGCTTCTGTAGGCTTTTCTTGTGCTTGAGGATGGCTGGCAGCTCCTCCTGGGGGCAGGTATGGGGGTGGGGTTCAGTGGGCTGGCGGGGAAGGAGCTAGAAAGGTAGGGAAGCTGGGGACAGGTCACCTCACTCAGCCTGCTGAGTGGCTGCAGGACATCCCTCTCCAGAGTCATCTCAAACTCGGCGAGGACACGGGCCAGCTGGTTCTGGATGGCACAGGTCATCTCCAAGGCCTTCCTGTGGACGTAGCACCAGTGGGCCCAGGCTCTGGCAGCCCCTCACCCCCTGGGAAACACCGGGTGGGGCCTCTCCTCCCCAGGATTTCCTGCCCCTCCTATCTCTCCTCTATCTCGGCCAAGCCGAATACCCTCTCCCAGGCTGGGCTGTCCTCACTGGCCTGGACGCAGCCTGGCCATTTGTCTAATGTGGACCCCCTCCCAGCCCAGATCACTTCTTGGCATTCCCAGGTGAGGGCTGGGCCCCATCTGTGCTCACCCCATGCTGGAATCGGGGTCCAGCTCCTTGAAGCTCTCGGCCATCGTGGTGGACAGAGCCATGAGGGGAAGCTTCTTCTGCAGGGAGGGAGGCAGCTGTGAGTGCATATCCCTGAGCACCGGGCGAGCCCCTTGGGCCAGGGAGGAGGGAACCCAGGAGGGAAACAGGATGACAACAGCCGTGGGGTGGGGGGGGTGATATTTCCCTGTGACCACGTATAGAGCCCCCACCCACCTGGGGTCCTCCTTCCTCTGTCCCAGAAGCCACTTAGTTGGGCAGGAAGGAATGACCAAGTCCTATCACAGACGGGGGAACTAAGATGCAGAGAGGGCAGGGAGCTCATGTGAGGTCACACAGTTGGAGGGGACTGGAAGGGGGAGCTAGCCTCTGAGCGGGGGCTCTTTCCCTGCCCCAGGCCTTATGTGGCTGACCTGGCCACCTCTGAGCTCTCCCCTCCTCCACGCCTTGCTCCCAACTCCCCACCCCTGCCACACTCCAAAACATGCCCCGCACACTCCCAGCTGGAGTTACGAAGAGCACTAGCTTTGCGATCAGAGAGACCAGGGACTGGTGTAGAGGGGAGTGGGATCCAGATGGGGATGGGAAAGACACAGGGTCTCACGAACATAGTGCCGGAGGGGCCATGGGACAGGGCAGTCTCCACGCCCTTGGTGCCAGAGGCTCAGACTGGCAGGGAGACCGGAGCCCCAACCACGCTTCCCCACTAGACTGAAGCCTGCTGCTCAGGCCCCTCCTTGCTGGGACCCCCACTCACCACACGCTTGTCCATGTCTGCCCCACTCTGGCCCTGCAGACAGGCCTGCAGCCGTTTGTGGACATTGTGGGCTGCCCGCTTGGCTGGCTCCAGCCGCTGCTCCACCTGGGAGGGAGGTGTGGGGGTTTAGGATCAAGGGAGGTTGTCTCCCTAGAGCAACCTTCCTACCTTTCTCCTCCCTGCAGGACACCAGGACCATCAGCTTGGGGAATGACTCAACCCAGGCCCCTGAATGGCATCCGCGCCCAGCCCTCTGCTCTGACAGCCTGCACAGGCCTGCCTTCCCACCGGCTGCCGGCCCAGGCACGTACCTGCAGCAGGTCCTCACCCAGGAACTCAGCGGTCTCCGGGGTGCTGCAGGGGAAGAGAGCTTCTGCTGAGCTGGCCTGCGCTGGGGCTGGGAACTCCCCAGCCTCCCCCTGTCCCCCAGCAGGGCACCTGGACCCCAGTTGCTTCCAGTGCCCCGCCCAGGTGGGGCCCGCCCTGGGTGGCCAGTCTGCCTCATCCCAGTCGGAGCACATTCCATGGGGTTGGGAATAGGATAGAGGACTTTTTCCTCCTCCACCCAGGGCTGTGTCCTGAGAGAGGGCAGATGCATGAAACTGAAGTAGGGGGCGGGGAAAGCTGCCCAGGGCCCAGCTTTGGGACACAGGGTCAAAGCTTCTCTTCTGCCACCCCCAAATCATCAGCCCACCCCAGGAAAAGGAGGCCTAGGCTGGCCCCAAGAACGGGAAGTGTGGGAGCTCAGACTCCTGGGCTGTCAGTCATGTAGGACTCTAGACTCTAGCTGTGGCAGGGGTGCACAGGCCCTCTGCCCCTGCCTGGGGACCCATGGGGGATGCTGAGACCCACAGGAAGGTGGCCTGACTGCCTGAGGCTAACGCAGGCATTTGTGCCAGTGCGAGACTAGAACCAGGTCTTTGGACACCCAAGCCCCTCCCCTGGGTGCAGAGAATGGGGAACTCCCAAGGCTGGGGGAAGAGGAGCAGAGAAGACAGGCCCTCAGAGCCTCCCCAAACTTCTGGCCTGGATCCCCCAGTTCAAGGGCTGGGGGTGGGAACAGGGAGACCTGGGGACGTTTCCACCTGAATCTGGGAAAAGCAGAAGCAAGATAGAGAAGCAGGAGGCGTCTGGCTGGGGGAGGGGAAGGGAGGCCGCAGAGCAAGGGCAGGCCCCTCCTCCCCCCAGGCCAGGACCCCGTCTCCTCCCCTCCACGGTCTGGGGCCCTATAGACCTTTTCCCTCCCCCACCCAGCAATCAGAGGTCGTTAACAGCCCCAATGTCCAGAAGGAACAAGTGAGGCCAGAGAGGACCGTCCACTCAGAAGCTCCTGGGGGCTGCGAAGTCGCAGTGTCCTCGGTCAGAGCGCATTCTCCCCCTGCAGCCCCCTCCCATCCAGTCAGGGGTGGGGTGCCCTTTCCCCCAAAGACCAGCGTCTGCTCCTGCTCTGCCTGGGAGATGCGGGTGGCGATCAGAGGGGAGCAAGAGAGGGCAGGGCTCTGGCCGGTCAGAGGCCGGCTGCCCGGCTGCCCCCTGGCGCCCCCACCCCGTCTCCCCGCACCCTTCTACTCCCCCTCGGGTCCTGCGGGGGTAAGAGTGGGCACTGCAAGCGGGTGACACTCACCGTCCCAAGCTGCCCGTCTGGGCCAGCTGCCGCATGCGGTGCAGCTGCCTCTTCATCATCTTGAGGGCGGCAGGGGCTCGGGGTCACGGGGGTGAAGGCCCGGGCAGCCCCCGGCCCGGCCTGCCTCTCCCGCGGCGCGCTCTCGCCCCGGATGGGTGGGCGGCGCGCTCGCTTCCTGGGCCGCCGCGCTCGCGGCTCTCGGCCCCGGCTGGCGGCCGTCTCTCCCCGCCCCCGCTCGCGACTCCGCCCCCGGCCCCCAGGTCACTCCTCTCTCCAAGTTGGTTTCCTGGCTCTCCCCCGGCTTCCGGGCCCCCCGCCGACCCCCGGCCGGGCCCCCGCGAGTGCTCGTCAGGCGGGCCGCGGCGGTCCACAGGTTGAGCGCCGGCTCCTCCTCCCGCCCAGCCCGGTGGCGGGAAACAGGTAAGCCCGCTCCTGCCACGCCCGCCTGCCTGCAGGTTCTGGGTATAAATAACCTTCCTGCCCCTCTTAAAGGGGAAGGAGGGTTGCCAGCTTAGGAGGGATAGGCCAAGGACAGGCCCATCTGGGCCTGCAGAGGGCTGCTGCCCTGGACTCCCTCCCCAGAGGACCTCTGGCCGTCCGGAGCTGAAGGCCACCCCTGCTGGATGACTGGCCGGGAGCTTTGGCTTCCTGAGGCCACTGGCTGCTGTGCACCCTTGGACAAGTCCCTGGAACTCAGGACTCGCTGTCTCTAGTGGGCTGATAAGCCAGCTGTCCTCGGCCTGCCCATCCTGCAGAGTGGGCAAGAGACCCCCTGCCTGCTCCTCCAGCCTCTGAGCTCCCGTTCCCTTTAAGGGGGTTGCGTGCAACCCTCCAGCCACCAGGAACCCCCCTCCCCCAGCAGTTCCCTGACACCGTGTTCTCCACATCTCCCCACCTCAGCATGGACAGTTTCCTCATCTGTGACGCCTTTCTCCTCTCATTGCTCCTGGCAAACGGCGTCAGTTCCTGCCATTCCTTCTCGTAAGGCAATGATGTGGGTGCTGCTCTGACCCCCCAAACTCAGTAGGAGTTCTCTCTTTGGCCCTCCACTCAAAACAGAGTTGGGCATATAGCAGGCGCTCCGTAACTGCTGGTTAATACAAGATGTGAGCGCCTCTGGAACCAGTAGGCTCTCCTTACCCCGCACGCGAGCACCTCAGACATCAGGAGCCCCAGGTGGGGCAGGGGAGGGTGTGCAGCAGAGTCCGCACCTGCTGCACTTTGCTTTGTCCGTTTCAGTTCGGTGACTACTTGAGCACCTACTGTGTGTGGGTGGACAGACCAGGTACTTCTCAAAGGCAGGACCTTGGCCCCAGACATCTCCATATTCCAGTGCCTGGTGCAGGACCTGGCACGTAGCAGGCACTCTCGCTGGGCAGTGGCTGCCCCCCATTCCTAAAGGGAGAGTCTGGCAGGCTCCATTGAGGATGGGAGCTGCTGAGAAGGGACCCCACTGGCCGCTGCTGCTAGAGCCAGAGCCTCCCAGCTGGGAGCCCACCTGAATGTGGAAGTTGGGAGGCTCCAGGATCAAAGGCTCAGGCCAGGATGAGGAGATGGTAAGCAAGGTTCCCTGCCCCGACCTTCTTTTCCCAAAAAGAAGACTGCTGGCCAGTGATGGGGGTGGTGTGGCAAGGGGACCCCAGGTGCCACCTTTCCGGCCCCTTGGGGTGGCGCCCCTGCTCTATTTGAGCCCAACCCCCAGCCTGGAGCACACTGGGCCCTGGCTTGTCCAGTTCCCCAGCTGATCTGAAGGTCCCTGAGGGGGGACTAGTATCTCTGGCTTGTATCTCTGTGCATCCTAGGCTTGCCTAGGCCTGAGCCCCAACTCTGACCTGGTGAGGGGTCAGTCCACGTGGCCTATGGCAGCAGCTGCAGTGGAAACAACCGAAGCCGTATTATCAGACTCCTGAGCTCCCCACCCCTGAGCCCCAGGGTCCCCTCCAGCCAGACCCAGAGGTCTGATCCAGGTGGGACCGCTGTGCCTCTTGGCTGGGCTATAGGTGTATTTTAGGGCCCTCCCTTGTCACACTGGGATTTTTTTTTTTTTTTGAGACAGAGTCTCACTCTTTTGCCTGGGCTAGAGTGCCGTGGCGTCAGCCTAGCTCACAGCAATCTCAGACTCCTGGGCTCAAGGAATCCTCCTGCCTCAGCCTCCCAAGTAGCTGGGACTACAGGCACGCGCCACCATGCCCGGCTAATTTTTTCTATATATTTTTAGCTGTCCAATTAATTTCTTTTTATTTTGGTAGAGACGGGGTCTCGCTCTTGCCCAGGCTGGTCTCGAACTCCTGAGCTCAAACAATCCGCCCGCCTCGGCCTCCCAGAGTGCTAGGATTATAGGCGTGAGCCACCGCGCCCGGCCTTCACACTGAGATGTTGACTCATAGAAGGTTGAAAGCTCCAAAGGTTGTATCATAGGCTGTTCCTTTGAAGGTATGGACTCAGAAGTTTCAATCAGTGAATGTTGGCATCATGGCTTTTTTGAACTGTGGACACAAAGGGGGGACATTAGAGGTTGCCAGTCAACCCCTCCTGGGACCCTTCCCCAGTCAAGAGGCCTGTTGACTTGGGTGGTTCTCCACCAGGCTGGGTCTCATCTGGCTCCTGCAGGATCCCGAGGCCCAGCAGGGGCTCAATAACCACAGCTGATGTGAAGGGCAAGTGAAGACATCACATCAGTGGACACTTACCTACAACCCAAAAAAAAGCAAGAACAGAGCTTAAGGGTGTGGATGGGGCCAATTGACCGGGCTCAGGTTCTTACTAGCTGGGTGACCTTGGGTGGGACAGTTTACCTCTCTGAGCCTCAGTGTCCTCAGTAAAATGGAAAGAATAACAGTATCAATCTCATAGGTTGTTAGGATTAAATGAATTAATGTATGTAAAATGCTTAGAAAACTGCCTGGCACTGTCTCTAGTTATTACCATCCAGCCTGCCAAAAGCAGGAACGGAAAGACCCTTTACTCCACTCCTGCCTCAATTACCCCCTGAATATGTCTAGCAGCCTTGGGACAATGGGACTTATCGTCACTTGCTTTAACACTTCCTCCATTGAGGTCAGTATCACTGTCCCATCTTACAGTTGAGTAGCAGAGGCTCCTGGCCCAAGGTCCCCAGCTGGAAGTGGTAGAGGCCAAGTCAGAAAGCAGATCTGACAGGCTCCGAAGCTACACTTGCTCTCTCTGAGCCCTGGCCTCTGCCTTAACCCCTGTGGCTGCTTCAAGGGGCCCAGAAGCCTCTACAGATTTGCCTGCAAAAGCCTGTGACAGTCTGGGTAGCATGTACTGGTGAAGCTTGAACAGGATGTGGGCGGGGAAGTGGTAGTAGCAGGGGTCAGCCGTGGAGCTGCAGGAGCAAAAACATCCCATTTTAGACACTTTGACAAATTGCTTGTTTGTGGCCATATCACACGCTGCTGCCCTCCGAGTAGAGGCTTTCGCCCCAGACAGCTGGGTGCATGGTGTGATTTCTGGGGCTCTGAAGACCTCCTTCCCCTCTCCCCAAACCTAAAGGACTTTTCAGGAAACCTTGGGGTGGGGTTGAGGCCCAAGGACTCCATCATAATCCTGATAGTCCTGGGGGAGCATATACCCTTAACCCCAGGCCCAGAGGACAGCAGCCCAACAGAAGGCTGGGGGAGGGGGGTCAGAAGGTGGGGGACAATGTGCCATCATGGCAGACACCTCTTCTCACGACTTCTGGTCCAGACTCCACTCCTAATGTGACTGCCCTGAGCCTCACTTCCCATGTTCACAGAGCAGGTTAAGAGGAGGCTACAGGTCTAGCACAGTGCCCGGCCTAGGGCTGGCTCCTCTTAGCTGCCTTGCTGGGACTGTGTCCTCCTCAAGAGGCCCCAAGAGACTGGGGGGAGGGGGTGTCAGGAGACCAGGCAGGGGTGGGCTCCCAGGCAAGCAGCAGCCTCTGTTTCTCATGGCTGCCATGAATAGATGAGCACAGTGTGCTGCGGTTGCTAAAAACCAAAATTAACTAACTGCTGCCTCTGACCAAATGAATAGAAATGGAAGTACGGCTTCGAAGCCTGGGAAGTCCCGCTGCTCTTGGGCCACCCTTCAAGAACCAGAGGACACGTCTCCCCAGTGCACCCCACCTCAGCTCCTGAGAACTTCAGAGGCTCTGGGACTCCAGTGCAGTGGTCCCGACCTCTGCATCAACACACAGTATTTGGGGAATGACTCCTGCAGGTAGCAGAGGCCAAGGGTCCCCTTGTCTGGTTAGACTCCACCCCATCTTTCAAATAGATGCAGGGCTCCTGTGGTACCTCATGTTCTAGCTCTCAGGATGCCACACTGAGCTCCTGGCTCACAAGTCCCCATAAGCCTGTGAGCTGTGAGGACAGAGCTGCTGCGCCTGGCCCAGGGACTGCTCAAGCGGCACTGGCATGCTGGGCTAGGAGCACGTGGCCCTGGAACACGCTGGGTCACACTCCAAAGCTGACAGCCTGGACCCTTTTGCCCAAGGACTCCTCAGAGGGGATTTACAGATCACTGGGTCCCTCTCACCTTGTCAAACAGGGAACCTAAAGGCCAGAAAGGGAAGCACGTTGCTCAAAGTCACACAGCAAGCCAGTGACCCAGTGCCTAGACTCCTGCCTCCCAGTCCCACGTGTTCCCCACACCAGCCAGGACCCCCTTCAGTGGCCACTAAGGAGACTGTGCCTGAGGTGTGACTCCAACACCCCAGGTGGACGTGGCAGGCAATATGGCTTCATTTCATTTAGAAGGACCTTCCAACTAGAGACTATCTGGGAGACATGGTAAGTGCTGAGGCAGGAGTCCTGTCAGGGAGGGCAACAGGAACGGGCCACGGGACTGGGAGGACAGGGTGTCGGGGAGCCCAAGGGCCAGGCCTTGATGGGGGCGTCCCATGGGGCACTGCCCTCTTGTCCCCTCGGCAGTATGGCCAACAAGGAGAACGTCTCAGCCTGCACTTCCAGAGTGGGCCTACATAGGGGCCCCTCATTTACTGATGAACGTTGACGAGCACACGGGCTGGGGAGTCGGGCAAGCTGGCTTCCTCCAGCATATCTCCCCGGTAGCTATGGAAAGAGGTTGAGTGGCCAAGTTCAGATTGGGAAACACTAGATTACACAAAGTGAAAATGGTTTCTTAAAGGCGGGACTTCCCAGGGTCTTTAATGGGCTTAGCTGCTCAGGAGGAGAAATGGTGGAAGCCTTCCCCCAACTCACCTGAGCAGGCGCAGGGCTGGCCTTCCACAAGACACAGCCCATCACCCGCCGACTCCCCCTTGCTCTGTTCCATGCTGGTGGACTCTCCCAGCTGGGTGGCCTCTAAGCCATGCCCCGAGCCTGGACCGTAGCCCCCAGTTAGAGAAGACCCTGATAACACGAGGAGAGAGCGAGCTGCAGCTGGGAGAGGCAGGGGCTGAGCTCAGGGTCGAGGCGCTTGTTCTGGAACAAGCTGCAATTGGTGCCCTGCTTCCTGCGAGCAGCCCTTGGGGAAAGGAAGAAGCTGGGCGCAGACCTCCGGGGTGGTGCAGCATCTCAGTTGTGTTTTGAGGCTGAGCGCAGCAGGAGGAAGTTGTGAGCAGCTAGGGGCCTCCCCCTCCGCAGCGTCTGCAGCAGCTGGGGTTCCTGGCAGGCCCTGGTGGCCGCTCACTTCCAGCTGGGACGACTCTGGTCTGCCACAGCCCAGGGCCCTCTCTGGTGACTCAGCCCTGGCCACAGGCCCCCAAGCAGGGCCTCTTCCGGCGCAGGGCCCCGGGGTGGTGGGGAGGACGACCATGGCCTGACTTCCAAAGATGGAAGCAGAGAGGTCTACAGGGCAGCCCCAACTCCTGGACCCGTCCTGTCTCCCTCCACCTCAGAAGGGCCGTAAGAGCAGCTGGTCCAGGAAAAAGGATGTTTTATTTTCATAAATACTCCTGCTTTCACTCACACATCAACCCCACTTCGGACCATGGACAGATGGATAGACAGACGTGAGACGCCCACAGGAGGCCCCAGTGGAGGCCAATGAATGAAGGAGACACACTGAGAACTCCAGGAGCCCCGCAGCCTCCCGCTGGGGCCACCCACCTCTGGCATCACCCTTGGGTCCCCACAGCCCCTCTGGGGCCTGATGGCAAAGGCAGACGCCCAGGAGGAGTGGGGGCCAGGTGGGGCTCCCCTGGCTTGGCCCCCTGAGACTTGACCACAGGGCCACTCCGGAAGAAATGCAGAGAGTCAAACCACACACCAGAGAGTGCAAACAGTTAGGGGTGCAGGTGTCACCCCCCCCCAGTCACTGGGTTCCTATGGAGGCGGCCTGAGCTGGTCCCCAGCTCCAGCACGGCCCCGAGTTATGGCTGGGCCTTCCCATAAGGCATAAGAGACAGGCGGGGAAGACCCCAGCCCAGGCTGGGGTCGGAGCGGGGCCTGAGGTCCTGGCCCTTCCCCCACAGCCATGCTTCTTTCCCACGACCCCAAGTTCTTCCAGGGGCCATGCAGGCCCTCCCTGCTCCAGGCTCCTGCTGCTGATGGAGACTCCCAGCAGTGCAGGCCCAGGCCCAGCCTCCTCCTTGGTTCGGCTCAGCAGGGGAGGAGGCAGGGCAGGAGGGCCACAGGGGTGAAGGAGAAGCACCAGGCCTCGGGTAAATGGCCATGGGGAGCAAAGGGTATCTTTGGCCACCACAGCCTCCCGCGCAGGCCGGACAGTGTCCAGTCCCTATGCCCCCTCCTCTCCCCAGCCCCTCTGTTCTAGAGGCTCCCCCAGGTTTCGGGTGGGGGGAACTGGTCCACATCCCCCATCTCGTTGTAGGTCTGGTCGCCCATGGCAAAGGTGAGCTTGTAGCGGAGGCGAACCTTCTCCTGGGGCAGAGACGGCGAAGGCACAGGGGTCAGAGCAGGAGAGGAGGCCCCACCCCAGCACCGCCCCGTCACAGCTGGGCCCCTCACCTTCTGGGGGTTGGCAAGGAGCAGGACCTGCGTGATGGCTGAGGGGTGGACGATGGGGTTAAACGCCGGCAGCTCTGTGCCTGAGGGTGGCTGTAGCTTCACTTTCATGACCTGCAGACGGGGGGCAGGAGGGCACGGCTAGCCCTGGCTGCTCTCCAGACTCTCTGAGCAACCAGGCCCAGCCTGCCGGCTCCCCGCCAGGGGTCCTGGGCTCTGTCCCATGGGTCTCTTCTACCCCGACCGCCCAGCAAGGAGGGGAGATCCTGCGCCCTGCCAGCTGGCTCCCCAACAAGCCCAAATCGCCCTGCCTTGAGAGGACGGAGGCATGCCCTGTCCACCGCCCGTGTCACCTTGGGGACAGCTGACTGGAAAACGATGTTGCGGATGGGCTGGGGGGCAGTGCTCAGCATGGAAACCACCACCACCAGCACGTCGGAGCGCCCAGGCAGCGGGTCACGGGCAAAGTGGAAGAGGACGCGGAAGCCATGCTGGTCATACACGGTCACGGGCAAGATGCTGCCTGCGGGTAGAAGGGTGGGAGGGCGATGGGGCAGCTGCACCACACGCATCCGCCCAGCCCCCACATCCGGCTCACATCAGCCGCTGGCTGCTCTGCTGGGATTGAGCAAAGCCCTTGCTCAGGCCTTGCCTGGACTGCGGGCGGCAGTGCGGTCAGGGGTACAGACTGGCACTCGGAGGCGGCAGGTGAACCTCCAGTCTGATGGTGGAGGCAGCACACCCACCCTGGAGCCGGGTCACAGCCCAGGCTCCCCCAGTGCTGTGTGGCTGCTTCCTGGAATGCCGGAGTGCAGGACTGTGAGTGAGGGTCGTGCTCTTGCCGCGTGGCCATGCTACAGTCACTCCCCCTCTCTGAGCTCAGGGTCCTGCTACTGGTAAGAGAAGGGCGCCTCTACCTACCTCCCGGGGACACAGGGTATGACGTCTTTGGTCACAGGGAGCTCACAGAGAAGGACAATGCTGAGAAGCCAGCAGTCCTCACCTGTCCAGGGCCCGGTGCTGGGCAGTGGTCCCCTATTGCTCCTGGGCAGGAACAGCCCCAGCCTGGGACCTGGATCTTTATCACGGTTCAGTTTTGTATTCTCGGGGAGAACCCAAACCCGTGTCCTGGCCCTTGCCTTCCTGGGGAAGGAGGGTGGGTCCAGCACTAAGAAGTCCTCTTGCCTATGTAACCCTGGAGTTTATAAAACCGTCTGGCAATCACTCTGGGGTAGATGAGGAAACTGAGTCCCAGAAGGGGAGAGCCTTGCTCAGAGTTCGCCACTGAGCCGGCCAGTGGCAGGGCCAGGAGAGCGCTGCTTTCCCACCTGCCCCCCAGAGCTCCTGGACCCGCCCGCAGCCCTACTCACTGGGCTTGATGGACTCCAGGGGCACAGTGACATTGGCCAGGGAGAGCTCAGTCGGCGTGGGCTGCTGCAGAGGCCCAGGGGGCTCTGGGGACACGGTGTGGTGGAGGTTGGTGGCACTGGAGCTGGGGGAGCTGCAGCTGCTGCTCTTATTCTGCAGGTCCCGGAGTGTGAGCCGGGGGGCTGGCTGCTGCTTCTCCCTTATTGGGGGACAGTGTATTAAGAAGTGACTCTTTGGTGGCCAAGAGATCAGGGACATAGGAAAGGCTGGCCTTCTCAGCTCTGTCCCTGACACACGGCTGTCTCTGTGGCCTGGGGTCTCCTCACCTTTAGGACAGGCAACTCTTGTTCTCTCTCCACCCCCTACCCCGCCTGCCCCTCCGGCTGTGCCCTCCCTGTTGCTGGCCCTCTCGGTCTCTGGCCTTTCTCTAGGGGCTGGAATGCCTTGGGGGTGGCCATGTGAGTGGGCACAGGTCCCCTTTCTCTCTCAAACTCCATGTTCTAAGAGATGGGCACTGAGCCTGCCTTGGTCACGTTGTGTCCCCAGAGCCAAGTGCTCAGCACCTGCTGCTCCTGGAACAAACCAGCGATGAGCTTCTCCCTGCTGGGGCTGGGCCAGGGCATGCCCAGGAGAAGCTGCTGGTTTGTGGGAACAGGGAGTGCTCCCAACCCCCTGTGCCAGCCGGAGCACCCTCACCACCGCACTTGCTGGGACTCCGGGGGCAGTGACTGCTGCAGTAGTGTCTTCCCCAAGAGGTCCAGGTCATCCAGACCACTGCTGGCTGGCAGGGACATCTGCACTGGGGACCGGCTGTCCATGGGGGCCTGGGCCGGAGCGGGGGCTGGGGGCTCTGCAGCATCAGATGACTGTGGGCAAAGGATACAGGTGAGTGGGGCTGTCTGAAGGTGTCAGGGTCACCAGGCCCTACCCTGAGGCCCCCTCCCTGCTCTGCAGGTGATGTCTGGGAAAGCAGCCACATAGATGGGCACCACAGACCAGCCCTGTCCATGATGCAGGGTGGCCAGGCCTGGTTAGTTGGAGGTTCTATGTTCCAGGGACCTCAAAGTCACCCTGAAGGGAAAGGAGGAGGGAATGCCCATCTCAACCCCAAAGGTCGGGCCGCAGCACCAAGGCTGAGACCTGGGGGAGATGCAGCTCGAGGCGAGGAGAGGACCGCCTGCTTTCCCCTACCCGGGTGGGTGCCTCCCTCCCCCGGGCCATCCCCTGCCCCAGGCCCTCCAGCACAGAGCCCATCTGTCCCTTCACTGTTCTCCTCAGGCTGCTTGTTCCACCTGCCCTGCCCTGGGACTGGGACAGGCCAGGCTAGTTTCTGGTCCCCTCCTACCTGGAAGCTGTTCCATCCAGTACCATCCAAGCTCGGGCCTGAAAGGGGTGTGGGGTCGCTGAGGCCTGGGGGGAAAGCAGGACAGAGATGAAAGAGCGGGGCTGACCCCGCAGAGGCCAGAGAGCCGGGGGGCAGTGTGTGCTGGCTTGGGGCTCCCTGGCTGCCTCCACCCTTTCTGGGAGGCTCAGCTCAGAGAGGAGAAAGCCACACTTTCAGAGGGAACTAGCAGCAGAGCAGAATTAGAAACCAGAATTAGAAACCTTCTTCCTGGCAAGGCCGCTCAAAAGCCAACACAACCACTGACATCAGGACTTCAGTCTTCACTCATGAGCTGCAGCTGAGAGCTGGGGCTGGGATGCTGGGGAGGGGAAAAGCTTCTCCTCAGCGACCCGGGTGAGCAGGGAGAGGCACTGTGCTGGCTGAGCCGCCGTGTCCCCACATGTATGACACATTGGCCTGGGGCAGACTCTGGAGGTCCTGTTAGCCCTGCATGTGCCAACTAGCCTGACTGGTGCCAAGGAGGGCTGGGGGACCCTAGGGATGGCCTGTGAACTGGCCTGCAGATCGGGAAGCAGCAGGTCACCAGCCAGCCTGACCTCTGCCTGCCCTGGAAAGCCCCAGCCAAGTTCAGTCCAGATTTGACCTAGAAAGACAAGTTATCCTGTTTCTAGCAAATCCTGAATAAGCGAGATCCAAATTTAAATGGTGACAGGCAAAGGCAAGGGTGCCAGGAAGCTGTGACAGGTGGGTCTCTTCTTCTAGAAGCATCTGAGACAAGAGATAACAAAGCTGCAGCTGCTAACATTTATTATGCGCCTGATGTGTAAAATCCTTCAGATGCTGGTCTTGCTTAACCCTCAAGCAACCTTAAAAGACAGGGGTGGCTGGCCAGGCATGGTGGCTCACGCCTGTAATCCTAGCTCTCTGGGAGGCCGAGGCGGGCAGATTGTTTGAGTTCAGGAGTTCGAAACCAGCCTGAGCAAGAGCGAGACCCCGTCTCTACTAAAAATAGAAAGAAATTAATCAGACAACTAAAAATACATAGAAAAAATTAGCCGGGCATGGTGGCACATGCCTGTAGTCCCGGCTACTCGGGAGGCTGAGGCAGGAGGATCGCTTGAGTCCAGGAGTTTGAGGTTGCTGTGAGCTAGGATGACGCCACGGCACTCTAGCCCGGGCAACACAGTGAGACTCTGTCTCAAAAAAAGAAAAAAAAAAAAAGACGGGTGGGGTTCTCAGCCCTCTTTTAGGGACAAGGAAATGGATGCTCAGAGGGGTTAAGTAACCTGCCCAAGGTCACACAGCTGGAAAGTGGCAGAGTCCAGACTTGGGCAGAGGATGGCCTGATTGCCAGAGTTTGAATACAGCTCTGCCACAGCTGTGCCACCTTGGGCTGGTGACTCAGCCTCATATGTAGAATGGAGACAACAGTAGCATCTTTGTTAGAGAATGGCTGAAATAAATTAGATACTTCAGAAGTGCCTGAACAGTGTCCGGAATACCCTCTTTGACAGGATCCCTGTCCCCATCCCTCACCCTTCCTGCCATGAAGACCAGTTAGGACAAGCTCCCTCTGTGGCCCCAGGCTTCCTCACTGCCAGGGCCGGGCTGCATGCTGCCCTGGGGCCTTTGCTCTGATGCCCACACTCTGCCTTCGAGATGAAACCAGAAGGAAGCTGGAGGCTCAGGGCTGTGCTGAAGCAACTCAGGGACAGGAAGTGCAAAGCACACCTCACTTGTCACGCAGAGGCAGCTCTGCCACAGCCACGTGCTGGAGCCAGTGGTCCTGCCATTACCTCCCTACCCACCAACTGGCAGCTGCTGTCCAGTGCCGGCTCTGCGGGCGAAGGTGAGCCTTGGGTGAGCTTTCTTGTCACTAGACCATCCTTCACCTCTCTGTAGGATGGGGTAACGGTCCCCTCTCCCTAGTTACCCGTTGGCTCTGAATGAAGAGGGGAGGGGACAGCTGAGCGGGGCTCATAAGCCAGCCTCTTCGGTAGGGCGCTGGCTCTCGGGTCCACAAAGGGAGTTTACAACCTGGCCCACCTTCCCCTTTCGCCTCTCCCTCCTCCCTCCAAGTCCTTGTTTTCCTTTTCTTGCTTATGGACAACGGGACAGAGCAGCACAGGGGCTCAGAGTATGGCTTCAGAATCAGAGTGCTTAGTAAAGACTCCGGAGCCCTTTCTGTGCAAGTCCCCAAGCCTTTCTAAGCCTCGATTTCCTCATCTGTAAAACGGGACTATTGCCTCCATGGTGGCTTCGAGGACTGCGATGAGAAGCAGTGCAGCCGTGGGCACTGTGTTCAAGCAGGCACTCCCTGAATGCCGGGCAGACCCTGCCCAGGACCCCAAGGACCCCCAGTGCTTCTTCAAGGCCTTCAGGTTTTGTTTTCACTTTAGACTGGCTCAGGAGAAACGGCCTGACTCTTGGCTTCCAAGTTGCAGCTCCCCAATATACCCTTCAGGATTCCCGTGACAGGGCCCCAACACCCGTTGTTACCCTATTCTGCACCTAAGCGTCAGATGGGGCCGCTGCACCCGGGAGAAGCTGGAAACCTGAAAGCACTGGGGCCAGCTGGGACAGCTTTGCTTCTTCCCAGGGGTGAGCCTGGTCCCCTGCTGGGCTCTGGAGCCCCGAGCCTGCCCGCGAGTAACAGCAGGCCTGGCTGTGGGCCGGCGGGGCTCACGCAGGCCTGTGCTCTGGCCTCGGCTTCTCTGGGGCTTCTGGGTGCTGCGGAGCCCGGAGCTCTCCCTCGTTTCCTCTCAGTGGGGGAAGAAATTGCTGCACTTTTGCCTGGACAGCTCCCAATTCTAGGTTCCAACCTGTCGCAGGGAAATCTCCTGGTTTTCCCTCGGGCTGCCAGAGCCTGAGGGTGACTGGCCAGCCTCACCCTTCAACTGTGTGACCTCAAACAAGCTCCTTGACTCCCCTGAGCCTCGGCTTCCCCCGCTGTGAAAGGGTCCTCATGCCCATCCCGTGTCCTCCACGGAGTCACATTTGGAGTATGTGACACTGGTGCTCTGCAAGCTGCAAGGTATGTTGTGGGCGTCACACCCCACCTGCCACTGAGCCCACCCTCCTCTGGGCCTGGCCCCTTCCTCACCCAGAGACATGAGCTCGTCGTCAAGCAGGGAAACTGAGGTGCTGGGCTGCTCAGGGCTCGCCTGCTCGCCAGGGCGGGTGGGCGTGGCCGGGTAGGTGGTGCCGGCAGGAGGGAGATCCAGGCCTGAAAGGTCCAGCAGGGCTGAGGTGCTCCCTGGGGTGGGAAAGAAGCGTCTGGCAAGTCCCAAGCAGAGGACACTGGCTCTTGGAGTCCGCAGAGGTTGCAGGGCAGCAACACCTATCCCCTACCCTTCACATCTGGCTTCCTGCGCCCCTTTCCCCGGCCTCACCAGCCCTTGCCTGGAATCTGCTCACCAGGCCCTTTCTTTGGTACAGGGAGCTATTTCTGTCCAGAATGTCTTTCTTTCTTATCTCTACGTGGCAAACTGCTACCTGCCCTTTAAGGCCCTGCTTACACTCTGCTGCTTTGTGTAGCGCCACACCCGCCTCACAGAGCCAATTGTAACCTCTTCTGTGATCCCCCAGGGCTGTCATTTACCCTTATTAAAGCCAAGTTTTTCTGATAATTAAATCAGCCTGGGGGGTGCCATCTAGCCCCACAGAACAGGTGCCAGATTTGTCAAATGAAAGAAGAGCCTTCCTTCTTCTGCAGACCCTGCCAAATCCCTGGCGCCCTCCCCTCCATCCCACATCCAGACTTCCTCCCCTACAGCTGCAGGCCTGGCACAGACTTCACCCCTAGCTCCCTTCCCGGCCCAAACCAATCTTAAGGGGCCAGGGTCACCCTGCAGTCATCCACCAGCCCTGAGGGGACTCCGCCTGCACTCTCCTGCCACCCTCACCAGGGATGGAGCCGGCTGCAGCATCACCGTTGACCTCCTCGCCCCGCACCAGCTGCTTGTACAGGTTGATCACCTGGGTGAGGTTGTCATTGGCCTGCAGGATCTCCGCTGGAACAGGCAGGAGGGGAGAAGCCAGGCTGGGAATGGGGAGCCTCTGGGCAGTGAGGAGATGAGCACCCCACATCCATCCCAGCCTGTGTATAAGGGGAGGGGCAGGAGAGCACCCCATCTTGGCTACTCAGACTCCAGCCCTCTGCTACCTCCCACCCTCCCCTCGTGCACTCTCTGCCACACGGCTCAGGCTATCCCAGAACACACTGGGCACGCTCCGCCTCCATGCCTCTGTGCCAATTCTGCTGTCTGGCTGCCCCTGGATCTCCTCTTGGCTTCATCCCTTACCACCTTCAGACTCAGGTCCTTACCCAAGAGTCACCTCAGGGTGGCCTTCCCTAACCCCACCCCTGTGCCACCTCATCCCCGCCCTGCTTGCTTTCCTCCATGCCACTTCCCACCCTCTGACAAGGCTACAAGCTCCATGAGGAGGTTTTTGTCAATTTTGATCATGGCCACATCCCCGAGGGCCTAGAACAGTGCCTGGCACCAACGGGGCCCTCACCAGCCTTGCCTCCTCTGGTGCCAGGGCTTAGGGCAATCTGGGCAGAGCCTCTTGGGCGGGGCCCAGGTACCTGGCACGTGGCGGGTGTGCAGGGAGCTCCTGCTGAACAAGGGGAGCAGATGGTCCCCAGCTGCTTCCCAGGCGGAGAGCAAGGAAAAGAACGTGGTACGTGGCCCTGGCCGAAGCCGTCAGGCTCAGCTCTGGAACTGCTCACCTTTACTGGGGCGGGGAGGTGGGGGGATGTCTCGAGGCGCAGGGCCCGCAGTCTACCCTGGCTCTGCTGCTGATCTGCTCTGGGATCTGGGCACATCACTTCCCTCCCTGAGCCCCAGATGAGAAATGGGGACGATTCTCCCGCCTGTGCAGCTTGTGGGCAGTAAATGAGATGCCTGTGAAGGGGCTTGGCCCATGGCCTCTCTCCAGGGCGCTGTCACCCCTGATCTCTCCATCCTCAACGTGGAGAAACCCAAGGTCAGTGCTGGAGAAGGGGCCCCCTGGTGGTGGCCGCTTCCAACTGCAGTTACTGAGTGGGAAATGGGGGAGGTGGGGTGATAAGGCTGGACCTGACCCTAAGTCTGCCGTGGGCTCACCTAAGGCCTCGTCATTGTCCTCTGTGTCGCTTGCCAGTCGGAAGAGTGTGGGCCGCATCCGCTCACAGCGCTGGTACAGTTCCTGGGGGCAGCAGGGTGGCAGGTCAGGGTCGGGGGCTCTGCAGTGGGCAAGGAGTGGGGAATAGGTAGGCGCACCTTCATGAGGTCCTCGCTGCTGCCCGAAGCTGCGCCACCCTGGCTGTGGCCCATCACCATCTCCGTCAGCAGTTTCACATTGTTGTTCACCTCCTCGATGGCATTCACCCGCTTTGAGATCTTCTCCATCCGCTTCTGGTCCTGGGGACACGTTGGCCAATGGCCCGAGAACCTGCATCATGCTCAGGCTGGAGTCAGGCACTGCCCTTGTGACTCTGGGGAGTGTATGCTGGGGGGCCAGGGGAGGGCTGGCTCGTGTGAGATGAGACTCTGGGGTGGGGCTCTTCATGTCCTGCTCAGAGCCCCCCATGCCCAAGACAGGGCACTCTGGTCCAAGAAACCCTCTGCCAACGCTGTGGTCACTTCCTCTTCCTCCTGCCAGTGCCCTCTGGGCCCAGGCCTCTGCACAAGCCCATCAGAATCTCAGGGATGGCCTGGGAATCTGGGTTCCAACACTCTCTCAGGAGCTTCTAACAGACCAGGGCCCTAGACCTACACCTGTGGTTGTAAGTGACTCTTGTCCTCCTTGTGTTTGTCCTTTTTTTTTTTTTTTAAAGAGACAGGGTCTCCCTCTGTCACACCCAGGCTGGAGTACAGTGGCCTGATCATAGTTCACTGTAACCTCAAACGCCTGGGCTCAAGCAGCCCTCCCTCCTCAGCCTTCCAAAGTGCTGAGACTACAGGCGTGAGCCACCATGCCCAACCCCTTGCGTTTGGCTCCTGAGAGGAGGTTCCTGTACTTTACAGTGAAAGGGGACTTCATGGTCACCAAGTATAACCTCGAAATGAGTGCAGTGACCCTCCCAGTGTCTGTCAGTGCCTGGCAGATGGAGGGAGGCCATGTCTTTAAAGGCTGCTGTAGGAAGTGACCCCACCACCCCTCGCTCCCTCCTCTCACTGTGCATGCCCCGCCCCTGCAGAGTGAAAGGTGGGCACATGCTATGCCACCTGACAGAATCATCCTCCTTGAAAGGGGCCACACCTCCCTCCCCTCGGCTGTCAAGAGCGTGCAGCTTGGCCCTTCAAGACAACCCCGGACTTCTGCCCCCTGACCCTCTGGCAGAAACACCACCTTCACATCTGCGCTGGGCATGCCATCTCCAGAGCCTGCTGCAGGAGACCCCAGAGGAGCCCTTGGCACAGTCAGTGTGGGACCCAAGCTTATTCCTGTGCCAACCTGCCCACCAACCAGACTCATCTCCTAGCATGAGTGAGCAGGTAGGTTCTACTGGGCCCACTCATGCTTTTTTTTTTTTGAGACAGTCTCGCTCTGTCACCCAGCCTGAAGTGTAGTGGCATCATCATAGCTCCCTACAGCCTCAAATTCCTGGGCTCAAGCGATCCTCCTACCTCAGCCTCCCAGGTGGCTGGGACTACACGCAAGCACCACCATGCCTGGCTAATTTTTTCTATTTTTAGTAGAGACGGGGTCTCACTCTTGCTCAGGTTGGTCTTGAACTGCTGACTTCAAGTGATCCTGCTGCCTTGGCCTCCCTGAGTGCAAGGATTATAGGTGTGAGCCACTGCACCCAGCCCCACTTAAGCTTTTTAAAAAAGTTTGAAGTGGCTGCTGTCATTAGTGAATTCGGAGATTTCATGCAAAAATCCAGATTTCTGGATCATCTTCAAAGAAAAAAATATCTGACAATCCAGCTAGCTACACTGGGCTGCGGCTGGGGGGCCATCTCAGACACATGAGGCTGGGGGGGGGCTGCCTCCTGCCCCAGGGTGTCTGCTTGGCAGCCCTTGCTCTGGTGGCGGCTGCCACCTGAGTTTATTCTCATGTTGTTAACCCCAAGTCTGAGGAGCATCAAGCTGGAATGTTTTATAGCTTCTCATCTGTGCTATCCACTACTGACCTACAACCTTTTTTGATGACTTACCTTTATTGATACATTTTCAGCAGGCACCCACGTGTTTACTTATACATTAAACATCTACTTCCTCTCTTTACATACACGCATATATACTTATGTGCATATTCTAAAAACACATACCAAGGCCTAATTCATTTGTAATTTTTGTGGAAGAGGCAGCCGGCCTTTCAGAAGTCCATCTGGGCTGCTGGGAAATTCCTCCCTCCGCACGTTGGTCCCCCAGCGTCAGTCAGCTTTCCCTGCTGTGACAGCCCTTCAGCTGTGTCACTGCAGGGCTCCTTGCACACGCAGACACACACAGCCCCCTCGGTGGCCCTGCTCAATATCCCCATACTGCCGCTCCCTGGGCTCCTGGCTCAACTCTTACCTCCTGCACCATCTCTTTGATGAGCTTATTGGCCGCACGGAGGTCCTCGGGGTGGGAGCTCTTGAGCAGGCGGGCCAGCATCTGCGGAGACAGCGGGGTGTGGCTGTGAGGGCAGCACCCCGGCCAGGGGCAGAAGCCTGGGGTCACACTCTGGCTCCCCATTTCCTAGCTGTGGGTTACTTAAGTTACTTAAGTGGGTTACTTAAGTTACCTGAGTTACTTAAGCTCTCTGTGAAATGGTGAGAATTTATTGACACCTGATGGGGTGGCCATAGGACAATCTGAGATCCTTAGCAGTGGCTACCCTCGGGGGCTGGAACTGGGGAGAGGAGCTTTCACTTTTACCTCCTTGTTCTAATCCTAATTTTAATCTTACCGTCTCCTGTACCGCTTAATTTCTTACCCATGAGCACATGCTTCAACAGAAAGCTAATGTATTATCGAAAGGGTCAAAGACATAGACATATAAGCTCTTGATCAACCTATGAAATGCCCTCAAACCAACCCCAGGGACCCCAGACACACTCGTACTATTCCAGTGTTAATTAAATGCAGCAATGCTGTATGGTACATATTAAGCATGTAGTAACTGCTCAATAAACAGAGGCCATGTTCAGCTTGTGCCTCTGCTCCAAAGGCTGAAGACAGGGCAGCCAGGGGCCAGAATCCACTGATCCCCACGTGGGCCCTGGAGTCCCGATCTGTGTCTCCTTGGAGTCTCACCTTGGACTTCTCCTCATCTTCAAAGATCACATTCTTGGGCCGTGGAGGAGGAAGGGGAAAGGTGGCGTCATCTGGAAGCTTGGGGTCAGACTTCACAATCCCTGGGGTAGACAGGTGTCAGGAAGGCTGTCAACAGGTTCCAGGCCCAGGGGCAGGGGATGAGATAGGGATAGGGCGCAGGCAAGGGTAGGATAGAAGGGGGAGGCCAGTCTTCCTCCAACACGCTGGCTCTGCACTCCGGTGGCCCAGGCCTGCTCCTGACCTGCCATGTCAAGTTGCATGGTGGAAGCAGTATGGGCACCCATATTTGAGGCTACTCTCTGTGAGGAAGCTTGACCAAACCCATCTTCTTTTCACCCAAGCTAGCCTCAGGCGGAGCTACGAAAAGGCCCCACTGGCCATAAGGTCTCAAGAAGTTAAAGGACAGACTCATGACCTTGCTAGCCCAGAAACCCCTGAAGCTGTTGAGCCCAGCTCAGGGAGCAGAGGAGGGAGACACTGGTCACACCCACGCTCTGGGCACCTCACCTTGTTTCTTTAGCATCTGGTAGGCCTCCGAGATCTTCACCTCCTCAGGCAGGCCAACAGTCCAGCTGTAGAGCAGCTCCAGGATTTTGTTCTTTACCTTCTCCGATGTCCGCGAGCCCAGGTACTTCAGGGATGCAGGGAAGGGGAGGCCTTTGATGTTGCCTGGCCCCAGCCACTCCAGCTCCAAGCCCAGCCCAACCCTGGCTGCCTCCCCAGCACTCCCTGGGAAGCCCTCTGGCCTACAGGGTCCTCATATCCCCGCCCAACCAGCCTGGTGTAGACTGAGTTCACCTCCTAGCTCTGCTACTCACTAGCCATGTCAGCCCTTTGTGTCTCAGTTTCCCCACCTGTTAAGTGGCACCGTGTGAGGACACAGAACTGACACAGGGAGGCCCAGGGTGTGGCGCCTGCTTGCGGCCAGCTCATGGAAGACTTAACCTTGAGAGCTCAGGAAGAAGGAGCCAGAGGCTCCCAGGCCGACCAGGAAAGGGGCAAGCATGGAACTATGAGGCCCTGGCCCCCACTCATCATCTCCCAGTGGCAAACTGGGCTGGGGGAGTGGCTCTCACACCAGAGTCCACTCCTGAGAGACTGGGGGGCCAGATGGGTCCTTCAGCAGCTCTGGTCACAGGATAAGTCCGAGCAAGGAAGGGCCAAGTGGATGGGCTCTCACCCAAAAAACACCAAAAACTAGCGCTGGGTGTGGTGGTGTGTGCCTGTAGTCCCAGCTGCTTGGGAGGATGGAGTGAGAGGATCACGTGAGCCCAAGAATTCGAGGCTGCAGTGCACTATGATCGCACCTATGAATAGCCACTGCACTCCGGCCCGGGCAACATAGCAAGACCCCATCTCAAAAAAGAACTGTTCATGGCCTATGGTAAGACTCCTCAGGCCACGGGCCGGAAGCCAGAGGCGTGGCCCATATGGAGTTGGCAGACTCCATCACTCAGGTCTGTGGCTTTGGATATAAGACCTAAGGAGGCCACTCTTGTGTTGTAGGGACAAGGAGACCTTCTGCCAGAGATCAGGTAGGGCACTATAGCCAGGGCCACAGGGAGTGATCTCAGGGCCAGAGCAGCTCGTGCTAGGAAAGCCGCTGACCAGCTGTATGTGTCCCAGGAACCATTTCTCCCTATGTACTGAGCAGCTTCACGGCTGCCCTGGTGCCGGTTAGCCTGGACGCGCTCTTCCCCGAAACCCCAAGGAAATATCTGCTTCCGGGAATCAGCTATGAAGGGGACTATGAGCAGAGACCTGTGTTTGTACTGGGTCTGAGGTCTAACAGGGGGCTGAGGTGGCACCCCAGTAGGAAGCCCCAGGAAAAGGGGCAGTGAGTCACTCTACCATCTGAGGGTCCTTTCTCCTCGACCCATGTCCAAAAGAGCAGGTGTGAGCTTGGGCTAGGAGCACCCACCTTAGGAGACACGACCTTGATGAGCTCGTTGAGAAAGCGGAACTTGCCCACCTCGTCGTGGAACCTCTTGCCACAGCTCTTCATGCATGTTTCCAGCACCTGGAGCAGGGAGGTGGGACTGTGAGGGGAACCCCTAGGGAGGATCAGAGGCGGCGGCCTCCCTCCCACATTTTGGCCAGAGCCCAGAAGCACAGGGTGGGCATTTTGAAGGGAGGGAATGACCCATGAGGACAGAAGATTCTGAGGTTCACAGAGGCCCCCTGAAATTGGCCACCATCCCCTGGGGCAGAGTTGGACAACTTACAGTGCCCAGCAATGAGCAATACCCAAGCTGTGGCACTGCCGGAGCCCCTCCATGGCCTGGGCTACAGAGCAGCACTTGTACATTATTTTCTTACTTTTTTTTTTTTTGGAGACAGAGTCTCACTTTGTTGCCCCGGCTAGAGTGCAGTGACAACATTGTAGCTCACTGCAACCTCAAACTTCTGGGCTCGAGCAATCCTCCTGCCTCAGCCTCCCGAGTAGCTGAGACTACAGGTGCTGACCACCACACCCGGCTAATTTTTTCTATTTTTAGAAAATAGAGACTGCAGACAGCGAACCCCTCCTCTTCTGCCGACACAGATGCAAAACCTCAGGCCTGAGCCCAGGAGTCACCCCTCACAGCCCCATGGGAAGGATGGTGCTGTCCTGTGTCCAGAGACCATGGAGGGCAGGGCTGGCTCCTGCAGTACACCCAGCGAGTTCACAAACATGCCGATTCCCAGACACAGCTTCTTCAGGAGTTTGGATTTAGCAGGTCTGGGTGGGGCCCTGATTCAGTACGTTAAACATGCCCCCTGGACATGCATCTGATGTGTGGCTGGAGCGGGGAATCCCTGGACCAGATGACCCTAGGGGGCCACCCCACAACAAGAGCCCTAAGTGCACAGAGGCTGGGGCAGGAGGCCACCCCACTGGCTGCTGTGCAACCCTCAGGGGCTGGCCCAGACCTCCATCCTGGGCCACCATGGCACAACTCCCTTGGGCTCTAAAGAAGAGCCTTATGGAACCCTGAGAACCTCATTCTTGGCCTCCCCTGGTGCCAATCACATGATCAGGGGACAGATGGCACCCTCTCTCCCCTTCTCCTCACCGTCAGGGCCTGGATCGCCTCCCACTCCTGCGGGGACTGGATCTTGTGGGCCAGCAGCCGGGTGGCAAGTGGAGGCCTAGGTGGGAGGAACAACAGAGCCAGAATTGCCGCGGAGCCCCGGTCACTTTAGGGTGGGTCACTATACTAGCCCAGTGGGACGTCAGCCCTCCAAGGCTTCTGCCGGGCACAGGGCATATGCAAAGGCCCAGCTCCCTCTCTGGATTGGATGGGCCTGGGATTGCGGCAGGGCAAGGGCCTTCAAGAGGCATGAGCTCAGCCCCTCGGCTGGCTTTACTAAGAACTATGACATGCCGTGTCCTCAGCCTGCCATTGGGACAAGAATGGAGAGATGACCACAACCTTCGAGGAGCCAGTGTGGGAGCAGAACATGATGATGTGGCACAGAGATGGGCAGACAGTTCCCTGCGAACTCAAAGGACATTCTGCTGGGGGAAGTCAGAGCAGCTTCATGACGGAGTTGGTGACATCATCTACCAGATCATAAAAGACCTGTCACTAGTGACAGTAACGGTTTATAGGTACTGAAGCACTGACGATGCGCGAGGGCCACACGTGCCATTTTCCTGCCTGACCTTCATGAAGTAGACAAGGAAACCCTCCTGACCTCTGAGGTGCACGGCGCCATCGATCCCACTCCACAGCTGAGGAAACTGAGGCTCTGAGGTAATTGATCACTCGCCCAGGTCACTCAGCTAAAGAGGGGACGGGATTCACACCCAAGCAACTTGACTCCAAAACACACACATCCTGCACGGCCTCCCGAGCGCTTGTGCTGACAGCGGTGGCGTGGAGACGGAGCACACAGAGCTGCAGTCACCAAACTTCCGCATCAGCTGGGCAGCCTGCTAAGAATGTCCCCTCCCCGCCTGAGAGTCAAGTCTGCATTTTTGGACGTAACTCAAGAATGTGCATCTTTGACAAGCACTCCAGGTGATCTGATTCTAACACAGGTAGTTCTGGCTCTTCCTTGAGCAAAGGGCCTGCTGGCCTCCTCCCTGCTGGGAACATGCAGTTCTCCCTCTGGGAGGCTCTTCCCGACAAAGCACTGGCTGTGGGTCAGGCAGGCTGGAGTTTGATTAGCTCAGGACTGTTATTTTCTCTCTGAGATCCTGGGGCAAACTGCTGAGTCCCCTGACGCCTTGATTTCTTCCCCTGTAAAATGGATCTGGCAAGGCCCACCTCAGGGTAACACACAAGGGGCACTCGGTACCAGGTGCCCACTATCATCATTAATTTGTGAATGCATTGAGAATGAAAACCGGGTCTCAATCTGCCCGAGGCCAGCGTCTGGAGTGTGCGGGACAGGTGCGCAACGGATCCCGCAGAGTATGTGAGCAAGACAAGGTGGTCACCTACCCCTCAAAGTCCTCGTTGAGCTGCTCACAGAAGCTGTTGATGCTAGCCCAGTTCAGCTCCTTGTTCAGGGGGTTCGTGGCTCTGTCTGTAGGAGGAGATGGGTCAGTGTGGCCTGGCGGAGGGATCCCTGCTCTCCCACTCCCCGCCCTGGCTGTGGTTTGGTCAGTGGGGAAAAAGGTGTGTGACTGAGCACAGGGAGCCCCCCCGCCCCTGCCGCACCTACGACCTCCTGCCCAGACAGCCTGAAGACCTGAGTGCTGACGTTCCGATCCGGTAAATGGACAGATGAGCACATGTCCACTGGCCCCCCGCACAGCTTCCCACCGAGGGGCCTCACTTTGAGAGACTGTGCTCAGGGTCCTTCCGCTCCTCCCCATGCCCCCACCCCTGCAGCTGTACCCCTGTCATGCATGTCTTCTGATTCTGCTCCTCAGAACAGCGTCCCCACAATTCTCACGGGATTTATGCTCAGAGAAGATCCAGCAGTAAGGGAAAAAAGCCATGGTCCCACCCTCAAGGAGCTGTGTAGCTGGGAAGTAGGCCAAAGGAAGCTAGGTTCTCAATAAAGTGTGACAGAGGGAGGCAAAGGAGCCGCAGGAACCCAGAGGAGGGGACTCAGTTCAGCCTGGGGCCAAGGGAGGCTGCCTGGAAGAGTCAACACTCAGGCAGGGACTGGAAGGAGGTAACCAGGCCAGGGAGGGCTTGCCTCTGAGCAGCTCAAGGGCTGCGTGAGGAGAAGAGACATGGATAACAGCACAAGGCAGGGCATGAAGGGCCTCGGTATGAGTGTGGATCGTGCTGGGTTCTGAAAGCCCTTCTCCCCTTAGGAATAGCTCAGGTATCACCTCCTCCAGGCAGTCTTCCCTAACTCTCCACTCCTGCCCAGGCTGGCAGTGCTGAGTCAGTTCTCTCCTCTGCGTCCCCAAGCCTGCTATCCCAGCCACATATGTCCATGCCCATCTCCCCTTGGCAAATGAATGAATGAAAGAGGGGTCAGCTGTGAGCAGGCAGGGTGAGGTTCTGGGGAAGTCTGAATCTAGGATGGGCAGTGGCCAGGAAAGGGCAGACAGTCTACAGGAGAAGGATGATAAACAAGACTCCACGATCCCCAATGTTGGTTAAACAACAGTCAAGTAGATCACAGCCTTACCTGCACCTCCATTTCCCCACTTGTAAAGCTGGAGTGAAATATGGACTGATTTTGGACAATACTTTATGCATGGTAAGGCCACAGGGGTCGCCAGAACTGTGTTTGCACTCCACAGCCTGTCACTAAACTTCCTCTTTTCCCAGTCAAGGCGTGGAAGAGAGACGGATCTGTGGACAGGAGGCTGGGAACCCAGCATGTGGTGTCTGCCCAGTTGGTGCCCGATGCTATGGCAGGAGCCTCAAGCCCTGGGATCACTGTGCCTGGCAGCCGTTCATTCAATTCGTACTTATTCCATAAATATTCTGGGTGCTGGGGCTCTAAGCAGCGAACAAGATAAAATCCCTGCCCTGCAGAAGCTCACGGCCCAGCAAGAGAAACAGTGAATACTCAGATTAACACACACAGAGTACTGCACACTGATGTGAAATGCTCTAAAGGAAAGCAGTGCAGGGAGAAAGTATAGAAAGTGCTAGGCAGGGGGGTGCTCTCTGGCAGGACTCCCAGAGGAGATATGGCTGAGCAGAGATCTGAATCAAATCAAGCATTTCTCTCTGGGTACAAATCTCTGTTCCAGGAGCCCCAAGGACTCTCCAGTCCCTTAGAGAAATGAAGCCCCTGTTGACCACCCGGGAATACTAGGAATATGGCCCCCCACACACACTCTAGGGGTGAGGGTAACTGTTTACGCTGCCTTCCAGTCCTCCAACATGGCCAAAGGGAACACCAGTCTGGAGGTAGAAACAGACTGTCAATGCCCACTCAATGACACCCAGCTGGGGGACCCTAAAACAGGAAGTCCCTTAGAGTGTCAAAGACACATGAGTTGGAGTGAGGGCAGAGACACTGATTCTAGAAACTGCTCTTGAGTCAGAAACCAGCAAGGAGGAAGCACTGGCGTCATGTGACATCAGCATTCTCTCTTGCATCTAACTTAGGCAGGGCCTCTGGGTCCAAGATCTGACTGACCTCCCTGGCCCCTGGCCCCCAGTCCTCTTAACTCTACCTTGGGGAAGTACTTTCCCTCGCAGGCAGCAGGGGAGAACACACAGGGACAGAGGGAGGTGTTTCATGACAGGGTGTCACTCCACCCTGTCACTCCACAGGGGTGACAATATTATAATTTACCTTACCAGAAGCTACTTTTTACCTCCAACCTCTAGAAGGGAACATCTTACAATTTTGCTAAGACCCAAAGGGGAAGAAAAAGAGAAGCCAGTCTCAGCTTCAAAGTATCAGGGTCCAGCCAAACCCAGGTGTTCCAGACTTCTGCCTGTTTGTAGACTCTCTGGACTCTCAGAAAATCCACATTGTTGCTAAACCTGAGATTGTTTTGTATGACCGAGAGCTTAAGTCCTGTAGCCAGTCTGAGATCAGTCAGCCAGGGTCCCGCCCAGCCCCCCAAGTTGCTGCTGAGACCTGGATGCTTGCGGCAGTCCAGAACAGTCAATAGCTGCTGAGTGCCACCTTTCCACCCCTCCGCCTCCACTGGCCAGACTGACTCTGAAACATCCGTGCAAGTAGTCTGGTTCTGTGGACAACTTGCTCAAGACTGGCTTTAAAAGGGCTGGCCATGACCTCAAACCACCCTGCACAGCTAGCTGCCTGTTGTGCCCAGGTTCAAAGGGCTGAGTTGAGGATAGACCCAAAGGCTTCCCCTGGAGGCTCCAGCACAGACAGGGTCCCAATAGGAGTTAAGGCCTTGGGAAAGAGCTGTCACCAGACCAGGGAGAAGCCAGCCACGGCTTTCAGGGGCCTAGTCCAGGAGTGGGGTTGTGAGAGCTGAGGATCATCAGCATTGTGGGTTAGGGAACTCAGGTGGAGGATTTGGAGGCTGGGAAGCCTAAACTGTAGGAAGCTGTGTCTGAGAAGAGACAGGAAAAAGGGGTGCAGAGGCCTCTAGAGGAAGTTCAGCAAGAGCTGGGAAAGGAGTCTTGGACGCAGGTGTAGGGTCGAAAGGCTGGGCAGAGAGTAGTAACAGGAAACTTGGAGTCTGAGACTGGACCCTACTAAGCTTGTAAGATTTGGAGGCTTCTCATTGTGTGGCCAGAGATTAGGGGCGGCGGGAGGGATCAGATGGGCCAGTGGGTCCTCCTTCCTGGACAGGGGAATGAGCAACTCTAAGAGTTGTTGCAGGCTCAAGGAAACCATGCAGGGCCAGAGAGTGGGGGATTCAGGGCCTGAGGAAAGTAGGATCCCTCCCTCCGGGTATGAGATACATCCCTGGGGGTTGCTCGCTTGCTCCTTCTCTGGCACCAAGGGAATGACTTGGGGGGGGTCTTCGGTGGAGCAGTCTGGGCCTCAGGGAGTTGGAGGCTACTGTCTTCGTCACCGGGGTTCTGGGCGCAGCTCACTCCCCCCGGGGGTCGCGGCCCAAAGATCTGAAGGGTGGGCGGCGCCCGCTCCCACTGCGGGGCTGCGCAGCTGGTAGAGTCTTCCTTCACCCCGGGGTCGGAGGAGCAGATTCCGGGAGCCGCCCCTGCCGAGCCAGGGGCGGGGCGTGAGGAGGGGGCGCCTGGTACCCCGCCCTCGCCGGGAAGGGGCCCGCCTCGTGCCCCCGGTTCCGGTTCCGGTCCGGCCCGCGCCCCTCCCGGACACTCACTGATTCGCGCCTCCAGAGTCTCCGGCTCCATCGCGGGCTCCATCCGCCTCGGGCCCCCAGCCTCGGCACCGCCCCCCGCCCCCTGCAGCTCTCGCGGGACCTCTTCGGCACCGCCCTCCGCCGATTAAAGGGGCAACGCCCGCCCCGACGCGCGGGAGCGGCGAACAGGAGCGCTCGGCACCATGGAGACACGAACGAGCTCGCCTAGAGCGTCACCTACTCGCCTACCCCCTCCCCCAAGCGGCGTCTACGACGCTGCTGGAACCCGCCGCCCACCTTCCCCTTCCCGGCGCTCAGACGGGAGAGGAAGCGGGGAGACTGGGGGCTGAGAGCAACACCATGGAAACCCCATGGGACGCTCTAACTCGCTCTGCGTCACGGAGATGCCTATGACCGCTTCCGGAAGAACGCTTGGCGGCCATGTTTCTGAGGGGCTCTAAGGTCACTTCCGGAGCCCTAGGTGGTTTCTTCCGCTTAGAGGCAAACATGGGAGGGTCTGTTAAAAGGGCAATGACGTCCTTTGGCCTCTGTGAAAATGATGACGAAGATTAAGTCAAAGTTTGTTGAGTGTACTTTTCTGTGAAGCATGATAAAAAAAAAAAGGAACAAAAAGTTTGTTGGGTGCTTACCAGGCATTGTTCTAAGCACTCTTTATGCATTAATCTATTTACTCCTTACAACACATCCCTGAGCCTGAGGCCGCGCCTGAACTCCGTGCTGTCTCCTGCGTTCACCCTGCGAACACGTAATGAACTTTTCACATTTGTTCTGTGATGGGCACTGGAGGAGAAGGACACGGCTAGAGACTTATTACACGAGACGGGAAGCCCACGGCGTAGTGGCGACACCGTGACAACACCGCACACTGGGAAGGGTGTGGGGGTGGTCTTTTCAGGGGAGGTTTCACAGGGAAAGTGAGACTGAATCTGGTTGGAAGACAGTCGGATTTCTCCATGTAGAGCTGGTGCAAAAAGACATTAAGAGAGAGAGTTAGATGAGTTCAGGGAATTGAAAGTATTTCAGTACGGCTCCCAGAGGGTGTTCGCGGAAGATGGCCTGGAATTCGGCTGGGCAGGATCACGCAGGTCCCGTGTTTAGCTTCTTTTCCATACGCAATGTTGGCAGTGTCGCGACAAACTGGCTTTTGTTTTAGGGAAGTCCGGGCGACAAGAGTGGGAAGAAGATAGTGGTGGGACCAGACTGAAATCGGGAGGACAGAATGAACAGAATTGCTAACTTCGGCGCCTTTTCTTCTGCGGTTTCTCCCTCCATCAAAGACCTCCCTCACCTGCCTTTTCCACCCCGACCGCCTGATGACGTCATGCTCTGGTGGAGCCCCAGTTCCAGGCTGCTGTGGGTCCATTGCACTCCGTCGTCCCCTGGCGGCGCGCGGAGGAACCGGCCCGTGGCGCCCTCTCCTGTAGCCCCGGGCCTGGGAGGGTTAAAGCGCGACTGAGACCAGGGAATCTGGCGAATCCGGTTCTGCTCAGCTGTCGCCTTGGCGAGTGACTGCCTTTCACCTTGCAGGACCGCAGTGACCTCATCGGGAGATGAGGGGGTGGTTGTGCTGGGTCAGTTTTCCCTGTAAACTCAACCATTCAACAGACCTGGACGCTTTTTCTAAATTCTCTCCAGCAGGCCATTAAGATTATACGGGAAAGTGATATGTATGTTTATTGCAATTCCACGGTAAAAAACATGTACTTACAGGTTTTTTTGTTTGTTTTTTGTATTACTGAAATGAATTATTACTGAAGTAAAACGCACATCGCATTTACTGTAGCATATCCATTATGTCAGGAGTCACTTCTTAAGACAGTATAAATTTCACTTGGGTGCAAATTCTGACTTCACTGCTTTCTAAACTGTATGATCTTGGGCAAATCACTTAGCCTTTCTAGATTTCAGGCTTCTCATCTGAAACATGATTGTGAGAATTCAGTGAAAGTATGTCTGCAAAGTGAATTCCCTGACACAAACTCCCTACCCACCTTCTCTGCTGAACTTTTCTCCTTAGCGCTTATCTCCTCTATATATTTCCTTTTTTCATAGCGTTTTTTCTCTCTCTCTCCCATCAGAATGTGAGCTCCACGAAGGCAAGGAATCTTATTGATTTAGATCACTGATATATCCCCAAGCCCTTAAAACAGTAACTGGCACATAATAGTCCTTCCATAAATATGCATTGAAGCCTGAGCGACATAGTGAGACCCCGTTTCTCCAAAAAATAGAAAAATTATGTGGGCGCTGTGGCATGCACTTGTAGTCCCAGCTACCTGGGAGGCTGAGGCAGGAGGATCACTTGAGCCCAGGAGTTTGAGGTTGCAGTGAGCTACGATGATGCCACTGCACTCTAGCCCAGGCTAAATAAATAAATAAGCATTGAATAAATTAATGTGCCCAACAGTGCACCCCAAGTTGGGCTTGGGGAGGGGTGAGCCAGGCTGTGCTAGTAACAAAGGCTCTAGCCTGTTCCCCGCAGTGACTTCTGGGGAGCAGGGCTTGGCGAAGGAGACTTAGGAGCTGTGACTATGCGGGGGGGTCAGGGTAGGAGGTGTGGTAGGAAGCATCCACACTTGACCTGGGAACCAGGGTTCTAGGTGCCGCTGCTGACCGAGGAGAGAGCAGGTGGCAGAAAGATGGGAGAGCCCTTTAATCATATGCATTCAAGTCCTTACGTAGGTGTGCAGGGGACAGGAAGGGGCCTCATATTTTCTGAATCAGAACTAGGCCGCGTGGTATAAGCAAGATCGTTGCCATGGTTTATGAATTTACACAATAAAAGGCTCACAAAATATTAAAATTCAACTCTGGTTCCTTGTACATTTAATAAATTATCTTTATGGAAAAGAATGACCTTTTAGATGGAAGGAAATATAAATTCAGTGCAAATATAAATGCCTGTGTTGCAGAAAATGATATAATTGGTTGTTTGCAATTACACTTTTCCTAGAAAATCTGGATTGCCTGAAATAATAGGACAGCAAAAATAAGATTTTCTCCAAAGGAAACTGGGCCATTTCGTGGGTGGGTGGGGTGGCCACTAGAGAAATAATAGGCTTGTTCACTGGGCTTTTGCATGTCTTGGGCAACTGGGGGGTAGGTGAGAATCTCCCTGTGACAGTTCATTTCACTGCCCTTGCTCTGATTCCATAATAGAGATCTTTTGCTGCCATTTATTGACTCCTCTGCTGTGAGCCATGACTTTCTCATATATATCGCACCAGTCCTCTGAGGTAGGTATGTCTCCCCATGTTACAGAGGAGGAAACCGAGGGCCACGGGTTACAGAAAACCTTGCCTGAGGCCACAATGGGGAGCTGGGACCAAGTTCTGCTTGATTTCCAAGGTGCCACTGGGTCTACCCTGCGGGTTTTCCGTGAGGTGACCACCTGTGTCACAATCCCCTGGGGAGCTAGTTAAGAATGTAGGCTCAGTGGTGGCTCAAGGCCTGTAATCCTAGCACTCTAGGAGACTGAAGCAGAAGGACTGCTTGAAGCCAGGAGTTGGAGGTTGCAGTGAGCTATGATGCCACCACTGCACTCTAGCCTGGGCAACAGAGCAAGACCATGTCTCAAAAAACCAAAAACCAAAACCAAAAAAAAACCTCTCTTCAAGAGACTCTTGGGGGTGTGCCACCCCCCCCACCCAATGTGCCACCCCAAGTTAGAGAGCCTTGCCTGGTGCTCCGTTCCCCCAGTTGCTCCCAAGCCCTGTTCTGGCTCCCCAAGGACCTTGGATCTTAGATGAGCTCGTCTAGGGTGACGCAGACTCACTGCCAGGTCTGACTACATAGTGTGGACGGTGGTCTCTGCAGCCTAGTGGGAGCCTGGTCCCCGGCCTCCTCTGCCCCAGCTTTTCATAACATCAGCCTTTCCCAACTCTGGGTGCTCAGGTGTAACAGGTGGGGTTGCATTTGCTGGTGACTGAATTGTGTGCCAATTCAGGTGGGGGACAGAGGAGCTGGGGAGTGAACAGTTTGAGTGACCCCCTTTCCCACATTCCCATCCCTTTTCATCCAGTAGGAAGATATGAATGACAAGGGTGTGGACAGAAGTCCATACTGACTCTCACCTCACAGGCCAGAAGGAAACTAGAGACCCTAGATTTCACCAATGGGAAGACAGTATGCAAATATTGCCCCATTGATTGGCTGAGGGATAGAGACTTGCCCTTCATCCCTGTGCTCTGAGACTTAAAGTTACAGTTTAACTTTGAGGTAGTGGTCAGATATGAAAGCAAATAATTATGGAGCACCCATGTTGTGCCAAGTCCTGAGGCAGGTGTGTGTTGGGGGGTGGGATGAGGCAAGGCACTGCCCTGGTAGAATTTACATCCTACTAAACTGATAGGCACTTAAATGAACACTATAATTTCAGATCGGATTGTGCCAGGAAGGCCACCAACCAGGCAGCTGCAAACCCGCAGAGCTGTAGCAAGCCTGTATGGGTTTATTCAAGGTGCTGCGGAGGAGAGCGAGACCAATTATCCTGAGGGGTGAGAGACAGGAGCTGCTTGTGAGCTGGGAACTGAAGAATGAGGAGGCATTTCCTCCCCAGGGGTGGGTGGAGGGAGATGGTTTGTGTTAAATAAAATTTTTTAGGAACCCGGGAAGCAGGACAAGGCTGGAGGGAAGGATGAGGCAAGTCACTTCACCTCTCCGACCTTGGTTGCTGGAGGATTAGACATACTAATAACATGTAGAGGCTGGTCCTGGTGGCCCATGCCTGTAATTCCCAGTACTTTGGGAAACTGAGGCAGGAGGATCGCTTGAGTACAGGAGTTCAAGGCTGCAGGGAGCTATGTCGTGCCACTGCACTCCAGCCTGGGTGACAGAGATAGACCCTGTCTCAAAAAAATAATAATAATAATGATAAATAAAAAGAAATGACATGTAGATCATCTAGCATGCAGTAGGCACTTGATAAATTCTAAACAAAGAAATCTCCAAATGGTGACTACGATTGTTGTATTGGGAGAGGCCCTGAATTCCATTCCCTAGCTTTAGGGCTTTGGTCCTACCCTGTTCCTTTCTCTTCCCTCAAAGTATAAACCTTCAAAACACTTGTCTTCACCTGTCCCTGCCCCCCAACCCAACTCTGCACACTGGCATTTTGTCTCCCTGCCTTCCTGCAGGACGAGGACTTCAAGGACAGCATGAAAGACTTGGATGAGCTCCAAGGAAGGACTTCCTTGTCTTTCTGTTAGAGTCTCAGCTGCTGGGGGGAGGGGGAACAGAATGCAGTTCCCACAGAGAGAATTCTGGAGAATCTTTGAGATCATCTATTTAGTCCAGAACTTTTCAATATTTTTTGACAGATACCCAATGTAAGAAATACATTTTACATCAGGACTGAGTGATCTTAGGTTTTGTGGAGCCTGAAATTTGTAAGAAATTTGGGGAGCTCTTAAAAAAAGAATATAAAATTACTGATGCAAAATTATATATTTATT